GTCTAATCCAACGTCGAGAGACTACTTTGGCCTGGCAACTCTCCAGACTGTAACTGTATTGAGCCATGCTGGTTCTACATGAAGAGGGAGATACAAAGAAAGGAGCTCCACAGTCAAGAACGGAGGCAACTAGAATCTGGCTAAATTGCTGGAGAGATCTCCCACAAGCTAAGATCCAAGATTGGATTGAGCGTATTCTTATACATATTCCAAAGATAATTGAGCTACAAGGTGGTAATGAGTATATAGAGGGGAGAGATAGGCGTTGTGTAGGAGAGCGGCCAGATTTCGGCTAAATTATTCTTGGCAGGACAAAACTTTTGTGAGGCACCTCCGTACGTACTATTGCCATTGCTGCTAGACGGTGTAGGTGTAGGTGTAGGTGTAGGGCGGCCTGCGTCCGGGGAGGTGACGGCGCGCATGGCGCAGGTCGCTAGGCACAGCTAGTGCTAGCATCGACGCGGGCAGTTGGGGAAGCTCTGCCCTTGTCGCTCACGACCTGTCCAAATAAAAGCTGCCATGGCTCCCCCAACCTTTTCGCCACGGTCTCTGCGGTCGCATTCTTCCATGAGGTTGCAGCAATTGTGATTGTATCTCCGTGCAATTGCTGCGTGCTTGTATCTCTTCCTCCGCCGTCTCCACCCAGCAGCCATGCCATCTGCCATGCTGTGGCTTGCACAGGCCTTGCTGGTGGGCCTCGCCCATGCCCAGGTACGTGCCCATATACGCTTTTCTGCGACAACACGGCGGTGCGGGAGCTGCAGACATGCTGTCCAAGTGTGCGTCCTGCGCCATTGCACTCTTGCCGCTGCCATTGCCTGGTCTGCGCCGAGCCTACGCTGACGACACCCAAGACGCCCTACATAAATTCAACACACGGAAACGACACGAGCGGCAGCCCGTTGAACTTTGCCACAAGCCCGCCATTCTACCCAAGCCCGTACGTACACCTACATGCTGCCATCTGTCTTAGCACACAACGTCCCTGGCCGCGACAAGTGTACCGTGGTACCATTTCCGGCGCTTGTGGGGAAGCGTCGTTCCTAGGTGCCTCTAGCATGCACGCCACCATTGTAACCTCAGCCTCCACCCCGCAACCTCCGAGACAGTCGCAGCCACGCCCACCCTTAGAACGACGGCTAACTGTACATTAGCTGGGTGGAACCCACCACCAAAGACTGGGCTGCGGCTTATGAAAAAGCCAAGGCCTTTGTCAGCCAATTGACTCTTCTCGAGAAGGTCAATCTCACCACGGGCACTGGGTGGCAGAGTCAGTCTTGCGTCGGCAACGTTGGCTCCATCCCTCGCCTTGGTTTCGACCCCCTCTGTCTGCAAGACAGTCCTCTCGGCATCCGCTTCGCCGATTATGTCTCGGCTTTCCCCGCGGGTGGTACAATTGCTGCCTCGTGGGACCGCGCCGAGTTCTATCGCCGTGGTAACGAGATGGGCAAGGAGCACCGCAAAAAGGGTGTAGACGTCCAGCTGGGCCCCGCCATTGGTCCTCTTGGCCGACATGCTCTGGGTGGTGTAAGTTTGCCACGCCATGCAGTCTTCGCCTCTGCTAACCATCTTGTAGCGTAACTGGGAGGGCTTTAGCCCCGATCCTGTTCTCTCTGGTGTAGCAGTTGCTGAAACCGTTCGCGGTATCCAGGATGCTGGTGTCATTGCCTGCACCAAGCACTTCATTATGAACGAGCAGGAGCATTTCCGCCAGCCCGGCAATTTCGGAGACTTTGGCTTTGTCGATGCCATCAGCTCCAACTTGGACGACAAGACTCTGCACGAGCTGTACCTGTGGCCCTTTGCTGACGCCGTCCGCGCCGGCACGGGTTCCATCATGTGCTCGTACAACAAGATCAACAACTCGCAAGCCTGCCAGAACTCGTATCTCCAGAACTACATCCTCAAGGGCGAGCTTGGCTTCCAGGGTTTCATCATGTAAGCACATGGCTAGACTTGCAAAGCGTGCATGCCCAGCTAACGCGACAACTAGGTCTGACTGGGACGCCCAGCACTCTGGTGTCTCGTCGACTTTTGCCGGTTTGGACATGACCATGCCTGGTGACACAGGCTTCAACTCTGGCTTCTCCTTCTGGGGTACCAACCTGACCATCTCGATTCTCAACGGCACCGTGCCCCAGTGGCGTCTTGACGATGCGGCTATCCGTATCATGACTGCCTACTACTATGTCGGCCTCGACGAGTCGATCCCTGTCAACTTTGACAGTTGGTCACGTGACACGTACGGATATGAGCACTACTTTGCCAAGACAGGCTACGCTCTGATCAACCAGCACATTGATGTCCGCGCCGACCACTTCAGGTCCATTCGCCGCGCTGCTGCCAGGTCGACTGTCCTCCTCAAGAACACTGGCGTCCTCCCCCTTTCTGGAAACGAGAAGTGGACCGCCGTGTTTGGCGAAGATGCCGGCGAGAATGCATGGGGTCCCAACGGATGCGCCGACCGTGGCTGTGACAATGGTACCTTGGCCATGGGATGGGGCTCAGGAACTGCCGACTTCCCCTACCTTGTCACTCCTCTTGAAGCTATCAAGCGCGTTGTTACTGACAATGGCGGTGTCATCACTTCTGTCACGGACAACTACGCTTATGCTCAGATCCAGGCCATGGCTCCCCAGGCTAGTGTCTCGATCGTCTTTGTCAACGCCGACTCTGGTGAAGGCTACATCACCGTCGATGGCAACATGGGTGACCGCAACAACATGACCGTGTGGCACGATGGCGATACGCTCATCCAGAACGTTACTGCCTTCTGCAACAACACTATTGTCGTTGTTCACTCTGTCGGACCCGTTGAGATGGACGCATGGAAGAAGAACGAAAACGTCACTGCCATTCTCTGGGCTGGTCTTCCTGGCCAAGAGTCTGGTAATTCTATTGCTGACATTCTGTACGGCAAACACAACCCCGGCGGCAAGCTCCCCTTCTCGCTTGGCACCTCGCCTGACCAGGCGGGCCCTCCGGTCACGTACGAGCCCACCAACGGCCACGGCAGCCCCCAGGACAACTTTGAAGAGGGCGTTTTCATCGACTACCGCGCGTTTGACAAGGAGGGCATTGAGCCCGTGTACGAATTCGGCTTTGGTCTGTCGTACACGACGTTTGCATTCTCCGACATCAGCGTGACCAAGGTGGCGGCTGCCGCCTACACGCCCTTTAGCGGCAAGACGACGGCGGCGCCCACGCTTGGAAACTTCAGCAGGAACATTGAGGAGTACCAGTTCCCCGCCGACTTTGTTCGACCAGCCACGTACATTTACCCCTACCTCAACTCGACGGACCTCAAGGAGGCGTCGATGGACCCTGAATACGGTATCCAGGTTGAGTGGCCTGCAGGATCCACTGACGGCAAGCCCCAATCGCGCATTGCGGCTGGTGGCGCGCCCGGTGGCAACCCTCAGCTGTGGGATGTGCTGTTCACGGTCGAGGCCAAGATCACCAACACTGGTAAGGTTGCTGGTGACGAGGTGGGTCAGGCGTACATCTCGCTTGGTGGCCCCGAGGACCCCAAGGTGCAGCTCCGTGCTTTTGATCGCTTGTCGATCCAGCCCGGGCAGACGGCCACTTTCCGCGCGGACATTACGCGCCGTGACATTAGCAACTGGGACACTGCCAGCCAGAACTGGGTCATCACCAAGTACCCCAAGACAATCTACGTGGGCTCCAGCTCGAGGAAGCTTCCTCTTTCGGCCCAGCTGGACACGAGCGGCTTGTAGACATGTACGTCGCTTGACGACACTTGGTTAGTGTTTGCATGGCACAGGCTGTGGTATGCAGGACGACTGTAATGTTGAATTCTTAATGTCTTGGCTAGATGATGTGTCTAGCGTTAGCAATGTTATCATATTACTTGGTTGCACACAGCCGATTCCACCATGTGCCGTGACCATGTTTGCTACGTAAGTATGAAGCAGTGATGTGGGTATAACGTGACACGGCGAGCAGCGCACACACACTAGCACTAGGTAGAAACCGGTCGGAGTAGCTTGTGGCGGGCTATGACGTGAGGGGGCTAGCGCGCACCAGGCAGCAAAAATCTATATTTGGCTGTTTGGTGACGGACGAGCCGTGGATCGAATGGGAGGCGGATGGATGGATGAATCAAACAGATGGTGATGGTGATGGCAGTTGGAGAGGGAGAGAGAGCATGTGAGTAAGTGGATGGGTGAATGAGTGAATGAGTAAGCGGGCGTGTGAGCGAAGGAGTGAAGGAATGAGCGAGGGCGCACGCGTCACTGAGTCAGCACTGGGGAGAGGATGGAAGGGGCAGCGATTGGCGACTCGTTCGTGTGGTGTGTGGCGGCATATGCGAACGCTCTGCCTGGTAGCGTCATTGTTTGTGCTTGGCCGTGCTGGGGGTGTTGGCAAACGCGTGAGATTGTCAGTGCGCTAGAAATGCATCGAAGCAGAAGCGCCCAACGGCGGCATTGCGTCTTCGCGGGAGGCAGCGCGTGCAGGCATGAAGAAATTTACGCGCTGGCTGCTGGCCCTGGTGTGCGAGCGGGCGCGCGTGTGTACAGTATACATGTCTGGGCCGCGTTAATATTGGCCGTGACGAGGGCGGGTGTGGTGCCTGTCTGTGGGCGAGCGAGCGAGCGAGCGTGCACGGATGCGGCCTGGCAAAGCAAAGACAGGCGCCCCCCAGCGACGTAATTCGTCTCCTTGGGCCTTCTGCGGCTCTGCGACTATCTCCACGCCTTCGATAATCGTCTATCGATAGCTATCCTCACATTCCTTCCCACCCCCCGACCCTCTGGCGCGTCCGTCCGCCGTGCTGTGCTGTGCTCTCACCACTGCTCTGCCCTCCCCGCACGCGTCGCCTGGCCCCCCTCCTGCTGCTGCTGCGCTGCGCCGCCCTCTAGCCACGCCCGCGCCAGCTGGTCCGTCGCGTCGTGGAATAACAAACACCACCGGGAAACCACGACGACGCTTCCCGCCGCCCGCCGCCCGCCGCCCACCGCCCGCCGCCTGCTCGCCTCTTGTACATCACCACCACCACCACTACCACCACCACTACCACCGCCCGCGACACCCCCACGCTCCACCCTCGGTCGCTCCCCTCCCCTCCCCTCCCCCCTCTCCACTCGCTGTCGCATCGCGCGCATTACATTGGCATCCAGATACCGTCGTTTCGCGGTAAGCACCAACCCTCACTGCGCGCCTGTGTGCGTGCTGCGTGTGTGTGTTTGTGTGTGTGTGTGTGTGCGTGCGTGCGCGCGCCTGTCTGTGTGTGTGTGTGTCGAGTCTCAGGTGGGGCGGAAGCCTGACGCAGCTTCACGGCTCGCTGTCCACACACACCCACGGTTCATGTGCACGCACGCACACATCGATACATAGATACATGCAAATCTCGCTCGCTCAACGCACTCGCTGACCGCACCACTTCGTGCACAGTCTCCCCACGCGCATGCACCATGTCGACCCGCCGCAGTGGACTCCGCTCGCGCAGAGAGCCGCAGCAGTCTGATCCCGACACGCCAGATGCCACGCCCTCGCGGAAGCGCAGGCGGGTGAGCAGCCCAACAACCACTAGTGTTGCGGCGAACTTGTACTCACTCGCACAGTTGAATGGCTCTGCCCAGGACGAGGCCGCTTCGGCTGCCGCTGACCCTCCCCGTACCCGCATCACCGAGTCGGTCGCCAGCAACGACTCCAACACGACGCTCCCCAACGGCGGAGATGCCGACAACCCCATGGACCCCATCGAGCGCCAGAACCTCGTCATTGCTGCCCTCCGCACCCCCGCATACACGCCCAATGCCGCCATCGACTATGCAAACGACCTGCAGTCCCAGCGCAACGAGGGCAAGAACATTGCTGCCTTTGCCAAAATCGCCGCCCGCGACTGGTGCTTCTTCGTCCAGGACACGCAGGTCAGGATTGGCCGTGTCGACTCCAGCAGCCGCGCCAATCCGCACAGCTCACAGCCCGACCTCTCGGGCATGCCCATGAGCGACTCGCAGCGCCAGGACTGGGGCGTGCACATTGACCTTGGTCCAGAGCGCCAGATTTCTCGTGTGCACGCCGAGATCAACTTTGATCCTTCGGACCAAAACTGGTACATTACCGTCAATAGTCGCAATGGCCTCAAACTCGACGACCGCCATCTCACCCGCGGCGACAGGGCTGCACTGCACTCTGGCATATGCATCAGCATCATGAGCACCCAGATGCTCTTCCTCCTCGCCAACCAAGAGGACCACTTCCACCCCATGCTGTGGCGCCAGGTTAAGAACGAAGATGCTGCCGACTCGGACAACGACGGCAATCCACCGCCAAAATCACATCAGCATGCTCACCCCAGCGGCCCAACGCCAAAGCGCGATCAATACGATCCCTTCCCGCCATCCTCACACCCTCGCCACAAGCATCAATCCTCGCAAGCCTATTACAACCAGATGACATCCACCCCGGGCGGCCAACCGGGAACCCCCATGACATTTCGCGCCGAAAAAGACCCGCGTAGCAAAGGCTCACCTGCTACCTTTTCTCGATCCGTAGTTCTCGAAACCGGAGACGACATTGACTACAGCCTAGACTCGACCAAAGATATCAAGCCACCCCACAGCTATGCTCAGCTTATCGGCCAAGCAATCCTGAGCAGTGAAGAAGAAATGCTTACGCTGGCAAACATCTACGACTACATCAAGGCGCGCTATGCCTTCTTCCGGCACACAAACAGTGGCTGGCAAAACAGCATCCGCCACAACCTGTCTCTGAACAAGTCATTCGAAAAGGTTGCGCGCCGCACCGACGAACCTGGAAAAGGTATGAAGTGGAAGATTGCCGAAAGTGAAAAGGAGGAGTTCATCAAGAAGCAGCTTTTGAATCCCCGTAAGGGTGGTGGTATGACTCTCGGGTACCGCGTCGACGGCTCAGGGCCCAGTTCGCCTGCGCTCGGAAATCCATCCCAAGCTACCGAGCGCCTTGTGGGTGCCTTGGAGCGCGACAGTCGCTCGCAACAGTATGGTCCTCGCATCAAATCGCCGCCACGTTCCGCAACTCCGCCACTTTCCTCCGTACCTGTCGCAAACGAGTCGTATACGCCAGACCGTGGTCCGCGTCCCTATGGAGGATTCAAGCAGTCGCCAACTATGCGTGACCAGGATCGTTTTGTTACGCCTGCAAAACGACTGGTATATGGCGGCAATGAGGGGCAAGGTCATCCTTACATCAAACAGGACGAGTCTCAGCGACATCTCGAATCCTCGCCTGGAGTCGATCCTGTTAAGCAGAGCGTTCCGGGCATGAAGACGGATGTTGGAAACTCTCCGCCAACTCTTTATTCGGATGCTGCATCAAACAGTTTGAATGGCAGCTACGACGCAGGACGGGGGAACAATGCGCTCGTTACGCCCTTGGTCACAAGGCATGCACCCCGTCTTGCGCCTCCGAGCACGGCTCAGATGCCCAGCCAGTACATGGCCTTTTCCAGTCCCGCGCCTTTTTGGAAATTTGTCGACCTGCCTAGCACTCCTGCCAAAGGTCTACTTGAGCTCAGCCCAATCAAGCTTCAACGTCCAGACTTTAAAGATGCTGATGATGAAGAGGACAATCATCCTAGCTCGCCCCCTGTACTACCGGGAAATAGTGCTGAGCCCGAAGATGACCAGGATGGCGAGGAAAAGGGCGAAGATGATGAGGATGCTGGCCCTGAAAGCCCTAGTCGCACAGTTTCTCGACCCGTTAGTCGACGCGAGATTGGAAGTCAACGCTCACGGTCAAATAGCAATGTCAACGGACTAGGACTCGGTATTGTAGGCAATGGTGGAATGGTACGAGGCGCAAGCCTCGGTAGTTTCGAGGAAGAAGCGGAGCCCGAGGAGGAGAGCTACGATCTTTCCAAGTACGTACCTGCACGATTCCCTTGTCGTACCACGTGTGTGGTATAGGCTTCTAACCAGAAAGCCATGTTACTAACATGACTGCAACCAAAAGGGGTTTCCAGAAAATAGGTTCTTTTCATCGCAGCATGGCTCAAGCTCATGGGCTCGGTAGTATCGGTGGTCGATCTACTGCCACTCCGCCACCGCCTCATCCACCGCAGATCTCGCGCACAAGCGTTCCTGCGAATATGTAAATGGGGGGATCAGTGAGGTTGGAGAAGCCTAGTGAACATGATTGCATGCAAGTATGAGTACCACGATACCACTTATTGCGGAGTCATGGGAAATACGAAGGAGTTTACGGTGTATTTTTTATCCTACAATCGTGAAACCGTTTACCTGTTGTTTGATTAGCTTGTTTTTTTTCTTTCTTATTTCTTCAATTATTCTCGGCACATTTCCCAAGTCACCATTAACCCAATCCTGTAACCTTTTTTGTGTTGTACTATTAGCATCATTTTGCCCCCTCCCCCCCATCGGGGTGGGCATATGCATCAAATGAGAATTCAATGGATCAGTCTCGCTACTCAATCTGATGTGTCATTGTCGTGTCGTCTCATGTCATTTTTTGCATAACGAGTGAAGTATATTCTAGAGCCCAAAGAAAACAAAACATGATGCAGTGCCAGGACTCAGTGCATATCGCAATCACATGTACACACCACGACACGAAGACGCTTTTGATTTGATTTCATTTCTCCTCATTCATCTTGCTCTAAGAGGGGAAACCAAGGAGAAGAGAAAACTCTCATCCTCGTACCGACCAAGCTCAGGCCCCGCCATACACGCATCAACACACGCCCATGCATAAAATGCATCTATTTACATGTGATGTGTGTTTTGCCCCCCCCCCCGTTTGCTCCTGTACTCAGCACACAAACACACAGACGCCTAGTTAATCTCCTTGTGAGGAAACCACTTGCTCGGCTTCAGGTTCTTCTCTTGCAGCGGGGCATCCAGCACGCCCAGACGCCTTATTTCGCCCGCAGAAGGCGCGTCGTCGCGTTTTATGTTGGCTTCGGCCTTGCGGTAGGCGGCCTGGAGGGCGAGGGTACGTGCAGCCTGTGAAAGCGTTAGCCTACTATTCTTCTTTCTTTCTTTCTTCCTTTCTATCATTTCCCTGCTACTCTGGAAGGAATTGGGTAGACTGAGGCTAGTAGACAAGGGGAGAAGAAGTATAGGGAAACAAACCTCTTTCTTGTGGTGAAGACACTCGTAGTAGTCTTCAAGAATGGGTGCGCATTTTGCTTTTCCAGAATCGTCTTCGGCGTTTGTGTTGGTCGTGTAGCATGCGAGGACTTCTTGCCAGAAGGGGAAGCAGCGGGAGGGGCCTGTGGGGGAGTGGGCGTCAGTTATCAGTTTGAGGGGCTGGGGTTATAGGGTGTGTATGTGGATAATGGGGAGCGAGAGCAAGTAGTGGGGGGCTTTGAGGAGCTGTTGTGCGTGGGCGCAGATGTGGAGGCTTCAAGGTTGGCGGGCGGGCGGGCGAGCGAGCGAACGGCAAAGAGCTGGTGGCCTTTTCGGTGCCTTGTACGAGGTTTATACGGGCTGCATATTTGTATATCGCAACTCAGTGGCTTGTACGAGTACCACGCGCGTGTCCCTGGTGTTTCTTTTCAAGTCTTGGGTTCCGGCATCGGGATATCGTACTCCAGGCACTGTGCCAGGGCAACCGGCCACTCTTTCCACTGCTTCCAGGTTCCCCATGACGCTCTCCAAGCCATATGTATACGTCGACTCGATGTTCGCGCCGCCTCGTCGTTGTCGCCGCTCTCCGCATGTATTCCGGTTCCGCTCTTCGTGCTGCCATTGCGCCCAGCCCAAAGCCTCCACTGCCGCCCAGCTCTCCCAGACATTTCCATGTGAATTGCTTGATTACGTACCGCCAGCAAGTCCGTATCCTGAAGCCATTGTCGCGGTGTTTAAGTGGGGGTCCTAGGTCGCGATGCGCAGCTGTCGACGGACGAGGATGAACTCGCGTTACGTCAGCAGTGCACGGACCTGATGGACGAATGGCACCAATCAGATGTAGTCGAGATGAGAAACCTCACACCCATCTTAGTTGATAGTGAGGCAAGGCGCTCAGACGTATTGAATCAAGACGTATTTTATGAGTGCGTGCTTACTACCAGCTTCTAAACCCCCTTTTGTCAAAAACACGAGAAGCGTACGAGAAGTATTCGAGAAACCAATTGTATCACTCTGTCTTGATGAGGCGGTCCAATCATAATAGTCAATTCCTAGACTTCTTGGATCGGATCGAATCTAAATGGTTGGTAAAAGCTACCTTTCTTGGTACCATGCAACACGTGACGGCCCTCCGCTCCACGAACCAAGGTGCAACTTCTCCGCTTGACTTTTCAACGTTGAAGCCCTAGTAGTCGAAGACGGATGTCTCTGATGCCTCAGAAAAGTCATACCGAATGGCTTATCTAGTTCAATATTAAACTTCATTGTGAGAGTTTTAAGTTTGTTTTGAGAGACTTCCTCCTGAACTTAGAAGGTGTCCTTGAAGTAAAATAATCGAGTACATGAAGAGTTTTTTTTGTTTTCTCGGAAAGCTGGTAGAGAGGAGTCTCGTCTTAGCTGCAATAGCCTGAAGGGCAACAAGGAAGCTAATAGAGACGAGGGATTATGAAACTAGTGGTTCCAAGTTCTTTCTATTTAAATAGATGCTATTATATTGCTTTCCATCAATGAATTTACTGGGGCTAAATATCAGAAGAAACCAAGGTTACAATCTGCGCCACTCAATATAGTCGCCAGCTCCCGAACAGACGCAACAAAACACTGACATATACAGTGTTACCCCAAGCTAACATTGCCCATGCTCTATTTGCGGGTGAATTTCAAAGGAGCATGCTGTTTTCCTAGGCACCTGAGCAATCGATCAAGCAGTCAACGCAAATATTAGTTTTAATCAGGTGCGCCAAACGTCTTCTAACCAAACGTTTGCTGTAAAAAGGAAATTATCTAACAAAGCTACGTGTAGTGATAACAAACTAGTCCTAAGTTTTATAAAACCACGGGCCATTGCTATCATTAACCCAACTTCAAAGCTATTCCCACCACTGCTATGGATTTCGAAAAACTACACGGCGATATCAAATCAGTATTGTTCAAGAATATTGTATCCATCATAGGCATTTCATCTGCTTGGAACCTGCGAGGGGTTTGCAGTGAGTGAGTTCAGTATTCTTCTTGAATGTGACTAAGACATACAGGACTGTTCAAGGAAGAGATTCAGCGAAACATCTTTCTATGTCAGCCGCAGGATTCATTTCATTGTCAGCCTAGTGCTCGCTCACATCAGATGGCTATACGTTACCATCCCATGCAAAACCCTGGATGTCAAGCTTTGGTTTTACGTTTCATGCCGTACTTCTTGCAAGCCAAGGTCGCCAATTCGCGTGGTTTCAGTCCTTCCCTACCGAACACGATCACGCGAATGTTCAACTACGTGGCAAAACCACTAGGCTCCAGCAATATGTATGGACTTCCGGGCTTAAATACCATTTATTCTGGTAAAGAAATCACTATTCAGATCTGTAAGAGCATTTGTTCCATCCTAGGAGATGGTATTGTCCTGAGTGCTCTCTTTACGGAAATCCCTACTTCAAATCTTATCAACCGTCTGGACCCGGCTTGGTTCGCAGCACTCAACACAGGCTTCGATATTCATTTCAAGATTACAGCTGCTATTGCTGTACGTTGCGCCAGCCATGTGCGTTTGCTTATCGAGCAATTGCCTCCTGGTTCTTCACAGCACGCGGTATTCGGAAGCCCACTCATCAATGCTATCAAACTGAAAGACTTAGACACGGTCAGAGAATTGGTCAGATACCTCCTGGGCTTTGATTCCAAAACTTTGAAGACTATCTTTAGCCTGGAAATCTCAGCGATAGCCTTTCCTATTATCAAGGCCGTCATGACGGCGATTGACTACAATCAAGCCAGAATCCTCGATCAGCTTGCAAGGCTAATCCGTCGCAAGTTCGGAAATATCGACCGGGATATCTTTAATTTTTGGATCATCAGTGCGGCTCGAACCTCCAACATTCAAGTTCTCCGATCCCTCTATCGCATTCCAGTGGAGCCAAACTGGCGACTAAGCTATGATGCTATGTCGGCGCTTTGCAAAACTGCAGACTATGAGCTTATCTACTATGCCTTCCTCAACGCAAACTATGGCCATCAATATGACTCTTCACGAAGGGACCCTTTTCACATTGCGGTCTCTAACGGTATTGAAGCTGCAAAGGCTGTTTACGACACTGGTAGACACGAAATCAACGACTGGAAAATTTGCAACTTCAGAACATATTGGAATGAGGAAGTTACGGCTCTGGACCATGCGATTTACCGGAAAGATTCTGTAACGATAAAGTGGTTGTTGGATCAAGGAGCAGAGTATCAGAGAAGGTTTCCTCCAGAATGGATGCCGGGTTGGATATACAATATCATTCGGGATCAAGCGATAAAAGATGATCCTAGAATGAGCGAACTGCCGTCGTATGGACAGTACAAGGATATGAGTAAGGATGCCAAGTTGCATTTCACCTTTGAGCTTGCTGAGTGGAGCCCTTCCTAGTCGAGGTAATACGTCCAAGTCTTCAGAACAATGGCTTTGTCATGGAAAGTAAGACATGCGATGGCCCGACTTGCTTTATCACTTGATATGTACAAACAGGCTGCATATCAGTCCCAATTAATCCAATGAATAGTGCATTTGCTTCCATGAAGCTTAGCGCGATGTACTTAATTCCACTTTTCAATTCTCTGGATATGCTATGACAGCTTGTTATTGGCGACTGCATCACTGACCCATGGCCGCATCAGCCATGGTACGCTCACAGAAAAGGAAGCCTCTACATGCTGCATGAATAGGTCTAGTAAAAACTGTCTTTGTCATACCGCAATCTGTCTACGCAATCTTATTAATGAATGAGCTTTCCTAATACACGCGAAAAATCTTTTGAGTTGTTGTACAAAACCAAGGTAAACGAGTAAAGCCCAGACAAGAGCGATTTGGCTGCTTTACTTTTCAAAGTGAAGTGGCGCACTTAGTGAGCGCACAAAAGCAGGAGCGGAGCAGGTTGAGCTCGAGTGGTCTTGCCACTCACCAGCCTTCACACTTTTCACTCTTCAAACGCTCTACACCAACCACCGCCCAATATCATAATATGAATACTCAAGACGGGTCCCAAGTTAATGTGGGTAGCCAAGCAGCCCAGCATGCACTCGCTACACTTGCCCGCATCCTCAACATCGACCAGAATACACTCAAGATCGCGCTCGATAGCGCTTTCGATTTACTGCCAGCCGCTGGTGGCAACCCCACGCTTGCGCTGCACATGAGTTTCGGCCGGATGAACTTGCGCATCGATGGCCGGATCTTGGATGAGGTTATCGCTGCTTTCCGCCAGACTTTCAGGGTTTTACTTGTTGGGAACAGTAAGTGTGACAAGGCAAACGATCATGTTTGATACTGATGAATGTCTTCAGACGAAGTAGCGACAGCACAGACAGCCATGATTCCACACCAACGCTATACTAATACTCAATCGACACTGGGGAACTGGAGGCTACCAAACGTTCCGCAGCCATTCCATGGTAGCAACGTGGGCCCGCAAGTACAACCCCCTCCAGGTTTTAACACATCAAATGTGCATCCAAACAGGCCCGTCAGCTCCTCGTCGTTTACAGAACAGTATCCCGAGTTCGTAATACAGTATATGCGAGGAAACCCTGGGCAGGCCTTTTTTAGGAGGCCACAATAGGCTACTTTGCCGATTAGGTGGACGAACCATGGATCAGAATGGATAAAGGTCCTCAGCCGGTCGGGATGCCGTCAAAACTGATATACGGTCGAAAGCACTGATACTACAGAGCAGTAATGAAATATGTGTCGGGTATGAAATTGACGAATCATGATACCAAAGATATTATTGTGCTCTGGTAGCGGAATTGTGAGCAACCTGGGTTCCCCGGCTAGATCTTTAGTATTCTTGTTTCACCGTCTTTTCATAACGAGAGGCACATATTTAGCCCGTGTGCTCCCCCCTGATTCCGTGAATCATATCTTTGACTACAATCAACAAGAGCTTGGCTTGCTCAATATCCTCATGGCGAACCAGCGATTATTGCGGTAACTGACACACTCTCTTAGAGTTATAAAGGAAGAGATAGTGAATGCTGACTTAATCCGCAAATAAAGAGGTGAATGCGTTACTTGAAAAGCGAAAACAGCGTTTGCTTTACCGTCATTCACCTCATGCTGTTCTAGACTCATCGGAACATTGATGCTTCTTCCTCTTACTCAGCGTTCTTCTTTAACTCTAAACTCAATATTCGACAACAATATGGCTGAGCATACTAATAACTCAACCCTCAAAGAAGACGAGTCTACACGTACTGGTTACCATCGATTTTTGGAACTAGAAGGATCCTGGTTTCCCAATAATAACGGAGACTTTGCATCTTCATTCATGAACCCCCACGGGTTGACCAACGAGCTGACTCACCCATGTAAGTCACGTCAGACCGGTGGTATTGGTTTCCAACTCATCTTTTTATTTTAGCTCCAACCACAACGCCACCTTTGTGGCAAGATCAGAATAGGACTTGGCATTATAGCGATAATATCGTCTGGACAGAAGAAACGTCCGAATTCTTGCATCCGGCTCAGCCAGAGATCTTTGTGAGAATGTCTTCTTCACGAGAACCTGACACGTCGTGGCCTCCTAGCACGATACAAGAAATAGAAACCCTCCGGAGCCCAGAAGAATTCCAGCAATATGAAGTTTCATCATCTCCTGAAAACCACCAAGAACCTGCTACTGGTAAGAGAAAAAGCCATAGTTTGGTGTCCTTCTCACTAAATTATGGCCCCACAGTTCTTAGCCCAGCCCCAGCTGGTACTATCTCACAGGGGAGCTCCAGCCCCAAGCGCTCCGTCAAGAAGTCCTTATGTCAAAGGAAAAACAAATTCAAGTTTATTGGATGGAATGATGAAGCGAAGATGATGTTATATCGGTGGAGGAGGGTATTGAAGAAAGGGCCCTCAGCTTTCATGCACCATTTCCCTGGAGAGACCGAGGAGTCTCTACGTGAAGCATGGGAGAAGTACAGCGACGAAGGAATGCATCTGTACAAAGAATGGAAGGCTACTGCACAACAAGAGTAAGTTGGGGCAGTGTCTTCATATACAGATGTAGTGAGGAAGGAGTTGGTAGGCCCGAGACGTCTTCCTTTTGTTATGCGTTGACGATAGAGCGAATTCTGAATGATGTATGTCCCATAGGGTGTACTTTGAAGATGTTTTTGAGTATGAACTAATAATATTGTGTGAATTATTTTGACAAGAGCAAGATTTATGGCTACGGTGGATAAATTGGAAGACTAACGGGCCTTGAATGCATATATATCATGGGATTCTGGTAGTATCTACTCTAGATGTATTGGACGCATTGCCCTCCACTTTCCGACCACATCCAGCTTCCCAGTCCCGCGAAATGCCAGCTCTTTGAAAGAATGTTCTCTCGGCATAACCTTTCTCGCGTAATGTAACATTGCTATTGTCAGTCATTCTGGTTGCAAACTGAATTTTTGGTCATCGCTACATACACACAGAACGGCCGTATTTTGTTCATCTCTGTTCCTACAGCTCCGAACTCGTATAAGGTAAACTGACAGCTTATGTAATGCATGTGCTTCTGAGTTTTCATCACAGCGTGGCAAGGTAGTCTCGGAACACATATAAAAATCAGTGTAGAACCGCACAAGCCGCAGCAGTCTAATGATATAAAGTAATAATTGCTCACCTGCTGTACGCCCAAAATTCCATCCCATCACATCTCCTAGACCTTCTCTCTATCCAAAACATCTGACCTGGAACTTTGTGTCTTCTGCTGTTCTTCACTTACTTACACGCTCACTCACTCACTCACTTCCACTGCGTCATCGCATGAGCGCAAGGCTTCATCTTTCCCATGAGTCCTGAAGCATAGAAACTCAGTAAAGGCATCTGCGCGATTTCTATGCGATTCTATCATGATAGGTGTGAGTGGTGAAGAAGATGGCTAGATAAGCACAGACCATGGGTAACAAACTTATAGCAGGAGCGACCTTCGCTTCTACCTCACTCCCACAGTCCTCCCGCAGAAATCTCGAGAACTACCTAAGCACCCATAGTATCAGCGGCAATGGGAGATGCCACGAACTCTCCCGAGTGGTCTCGACGAATTCAAGAACTGATGGACGGCACTGTCATATCCCACGATGCCCAACCACTCAACGGAGCTGTCAAAGACTCCACTCACACCAAAGGGCCACATCAATCATTTGAGCACAAATATGAAGAGCTGCGGTTCGAGCTACAGCGCATAGAAAGCGAGATTGACACACTCAAGGCCTACAACAAGAACCTAGAACTGGACAATGCAAGGATGGCTTCCGTCGCATTGGAGAATCAGAGGCTCAGCGCCGAAGTGAAAAAAGTCACCACGGCACTGGAGAGGAAAATTCTCGAGTTGGCGACCGTCAAAGCGTCCACGGCCAAGACAGCTCTTACAGCTCAAGAGGCAGCCCAAGAGGCGTCACACACACGCATTCAAGTGCAGGAACTCCAGGTGAAGCTAGAAGCTGCTGAGCAAGACCGAGATTGGTATGTTGCTCTTCTACTCTGGGTTGCTTCTACCGTCCCTCAGCCATTCCTCGCATATCCATGATTCCAGTTCTCCACTAACATATCCACAGGCACCGGAAAGAGCATACAGACATGTTCGAAGCCCGCAACACCCACAATGCAACCTGTGCGGCCAATACGAACCGTTTGAAGAAGTCAAACGACAAGGCCAAGAAACAGAATGAGGAACTTGCCAAGAAGCTCACGTCTGTGCTATACTACATGGGATGCTACGTTACCGATCTTGACCTTGTCTCGGAAGAGGTACGGATTTACAAATGCGAGCATGATGACATCAGCAACATACCCTACAAGGTTCAACATACGCAGCAGAAGGAAGTTTGGATGGTATCCAACGACATATATAGGCAATTGAAGGACGAGGAGGGGTTCCTCAACGCTTATATGTATGCCAGACAGAACATCTTGGACCACCATAGGGCCCACGAGAAAATTGGACATTGGAAGGGAGATTCCAGCAAACAGATCAAATGGCTTCTCAAAAATGTAGACAAGAAGAGAAGCGCTGTTACAACCTACGAGTAAGTCTGGAGAAGGATTTCATGGTCAGAGGGGATGATATTAGTGGATTGTTCATGGTAGGAGATGCTGCAACATGGCCCAATGTTCGTAATAGTATTACAATGTCGACTGTACATCTCGAATATGCTTAGACAATGGAGCTATCTGAAAGCCACGTATATACTACGCAATTACATGCCGTAATTTCAAAGCGGTATCTTACATTGTCCAAATGCGCAGTCAAAACAACCCAGCCTACATCAACACCTCATTTTGAGGCCCCTACATCCACACAATCTCCAAAAAAAAATACCATATTCCATCATCTTCATGCACACTCACTCGGCAAAATGACCCTCAACATGCCTCGCAACAGCCATCTCATCGCCCTCAAAATCACCGCAGACCGGACAAACCGCCGAGTCTGCAGCTCCACCCGCCCAGCGCTCCTCATGTCTCCGATCCGCCTCTTCCAGGGCCGCAAAAAGGCCCGTATCCGCCACATTGACGCATTTCGACTCATCAAAAAGATAGCCATTATCGTCTCTGATATCTCTTTCCATCCTGCCACCCGCGATTCTCGCTCTGGCACCCCCAGCCTCGCCGTCCCGACCTAGGCCTGCGCCCGCGCCGCCCACCAGCGCCTCGCCCCTCTCGCCCTCGGCTTCACTGACAAGACTCTGCACGCGGCCCACGCGGCCATCTCGCAGCCGTACCTTGACACCGCGCGGATGGTCGCCGCGCGTCAGCACATCGGCGACTATGCCCGAGACGCGGTGGCCGGTCGGCTGGTCCTGCTTCAGGACAATGGCGACAGCGCCGCCGGCGTGGATAGACGCATAGGCGGGAACAGGCGTGTAGGCGGATGAGGAAGAATGACCGCGGAAGGAGCCACGTGATGTGTTGCTGCCTCTTGCACGGTCTGAGAAGCCGCCTCTTGCTTGGCCTCGGCCTCGACCTCCTCTGCCGCCCCGGTCGGACGAGCGAGGTTGGCGGTTGGGATGCCCTCGTCTCCCGGTTTGCATGGTGGAGTTTCTCCTCTTTGCTCTTGGTGGGAAGGGGGAAATACCACCGCCTTTCTAGTTTGAGAATACTTTCTTCTCTCACAGTACTATTTTCTCCTCTTGTAGTCGTCTCCTTCTCTTTTTCCTCTTTTCTCTCTTTTTTTTTGTTGTAACCCTAACAGATGAATATAATTATAGAAAAAAGCGAAAAGAGGAACCAATCTTCTTACGATTAGTACTGGTAGCAGATTTTCTTCAATATATGATTTAAAGAGGGAAACAGGTGGACTATGGCTGAAAATTCCTACTCACAGACAAGAGGTGAAGTTGACTATTTTTTGGCATTTCTAGTCTAGCGTTGCTTACGTCATTTCCTTTTCTGTACTTGATACATCGCTGAGCACCACCATGATTACTCAGCAGGTATGACCTCCCGTCTTCTTTCTACATCCTTGCAAAACTTGAACTTCATCATTGGTCGTGAATCTGGCTATAGTCATAGCGGTAGAGTCCAAATAGAAAGATTGATCTTCAGCATGCTGAATTCGCTACGACATCTTTCATAGGCCCTGCCGAGCCCCCAAGGTATGCAAAAAAAATATGAAGCAACGAGAGACGCCAGGCAATGCAGCGCACCAGCCCAAAATATAGGGAATGAGATACCAAGCGACCGTCCTACCAATCTGCTGCTCGCGCATCTCCTATAACCAACGCCATGTATGAGATCTGTCGGAATTGTGTCGTGCCAAGGGGTATACACATGAATCAAAGGTCGCCTTGGTGAGCCCTGTAAAGTAAGTCGTGGGCGTCCAGGAACAACGGGTATCTCAGTTCCTTAGAAGGGGAAACCACCAGGTGGTCCCCGGCTTCGGCCACCTCCAGGCATACCGCCCATGCCGCCGAAAGGACTGCCGCCACCAGTGCTGAAGTGGAAGCCACCTCCACCACCTCGACCGCCTCCCATACCACCTCCCATGCCGCCAAACATCTGCATGACTGTGAATAGTGTTAGCTGCGTATCTTGCCAATGCATATTACGGTGGTACTCACGAATTTCAGGGTCGATGCCACCACCCATGCCTCCCATGCCTCCTCCCATGCCGCCACCAAACATATCGGACGGGTCGACGAGATCAGCACCAGAGTCGTATCTTTCACGCTTCTGGGGGTCGCTGAGGGTCTCGTGTGCTTCTTGGATCTCCTTGAACCTGTCTGCGGCATCGGCATCATCGGGGTTCTTGTCGGGGTGGTGAATAATGGCCAGCTTCCGGTAGGCCTTTTTTACCTCCGTCTCGGTTGCATCTTTTTGGATACCAAGGATCTTGTAGTAGTCCTTCCTCTTGCTCTTCTTCAGCTCCATCTCAGCATCGCGGATCTCCTTGGCAATGCCGGGCTCCGAAGGGTTTTCTTCAGCAATAGCCTTGAGATCACGCAACGCATCCTCCCAGCTCCCGCTCTCACCCAAGGCTTTGGCCTTGGTCTTGCGTGCCTTGGTATAACTTGGGTCTAGTTCGAGTGCCTTCTCGCAGTCGGCAATGGCTTGTTTCCAGCTCTTTTGCCGGCTGTGGCAAAGGGCTCGGTTCTGCAGGATCTTTGAGTTTGTGTTCTTGTTGGCAGGGTCGACGTCGAGCGCTTGCGAGTAGATATCAATGGCCTCTTGGTACCTGCCAGACTTAAATGCAGCGTTACCTTCTTGCTTCATGCGGTCCAGTTTCTGGACCATTCGCAAGTACTTGACCGCGGCCTTGAAGTCGGGATCACAGTTGAGTGCTTGCCGGAAGTGCTGTACCGCCTTGTCGTTCTCACCCTGAGCGTACAGAATACGGCCACGCAGGACCAGAGCATCTGGGTCCTGGTTGTTGTATCGCAGCAGCGACATGACCACGTTCTGTGCCTCTCCCAGCGCGTTTGCACTGTTCATTCGTAAATGTGCTTCTGCCCGCATCAGTTGCCACTTTCTTGGCTTGTCCACACCGGCGCCGAGGCCCCTTTCAGCCTCGTTGAGAGCATATATGACCATGGAGCCTGAGCCGTCGTTCCGAGATGTCTCCTCTGCCATGCGTAGGTGCTTCTGCATGGTCAGCGCAGGCTGCTTGTCCTTGGTTGAGGCATTAATCGAGTCATAGACGTGCAAAGCCTCATCGGGACGGCCCAAGCTCGTGTATACTCGGCCCAATCGCAGCAGGATCTTCATGTTGTTGGGGTCGAGCTCGTCTGCCATCTTGCAGTCCTCCATGGCCTCGTAGAAGCGGTTTGCGGAAATGTAGGCGGCGGCGCGGTTGGAGTAGTATGTGGCATTGCCGGGGTCGGCCGTGATGGCTGTGGGTTGGTTAGCCCGATGCTCTCTACGTCTTTTTTTTTTTTTTTTTTTGGTGGGTGGTAGCGCAAGGCTTCGGGTGGCGGCAGTGGCCGTGTTACAACGCACCTTTGGAGTACTCCTCAATGGCCCTGGGGTAGTCTTTGATCTTGAAGAACTTGTTGCCGGCCGCCTTGTATTCCTCGGCGTCGATGGTGGGCGGCTGGGCGGGGGGCGTGGCAGCCTCGGGCGTGGCAGCATAATTTGCCGTGGGAGGCGGCGGGCTCTTTGTGTAGCGGTGTGGTGGAGGAGCAGGGCCGTCGGGAGCGCCGTTGGTGCCATTCGTCTTGGGAGCGTCTACAGCCGGGGTCGCGGGTGCGGGGGACGAGGAATGCTCCCTGTCCACGTCCATTGGCTGGGGCGTGGGCTGGTCCATGGCGGACATCTGCGAGGAGAGGCGCTGGCGCTCTTCGGGGGGGAGGTTGAGGGGGTGCGAGTCGTGGTCGTACTTGGAGGAGCGTTTGGACGAGTAGGAACTCGAGCGGCGCGAGGAGCGTTCCCGGTCCTTGACCTTGGAGTGCGAGTGCTTGTCGGGCGAGGCGGGAGGCGTGTCGGAGGCGGCGTGCGGTGTGGGCCTGTGTTTTTTGGAGGATTTGGCAAAGAGGGAGGGAAGAACCATGGGGGCTGTGAGCGGCAAAGTAGCGGCCTGCTGTTGGTGACTGGGTCGCTAGGAATTTAGTCGGGCGGGCAGGGCAGCAGTTGTGAGAGCCAGAGCCAGAGCCAGAGCCGATGAAAATTAAAGCTGGGGTTTTGAAGCCTACCGTTGCTAGAAGGTTCCATATCAGCGAGGATAAGCTCGCTCGCTAGCCCGTCTGCCGCACTCGCGCGCCGCAGCGGACGTGCATGGGAAGGCTGGGGCGCGAGGCCTTTGTTAGTATGGCCCAGGCCAAAGTGTAATTTGGCCCAACTTTTATTTTTTGTTTCATCCGGGGCTCGAGGGCGAGGGGGGGGACCTGGAACTGGGGCCAGAGGACAGCGGCAGCGGGCCAGCAACCCTGGATGAACCCTTGGTTATGCCGTTGCTATTGCTACTGCTATTGCATGGCGTGCGGGCATGAACCGCTGCCCTCTGCCCTCTGCCCTCTGCCCTCTGCCCTCATCTGCCACCTACGCACCCACACGCGCCCACACGCGCACACGCCGACGGCGAGCGAGGGGGCGCAACACGACGAGTTCCTCGGGCAACGCCTCTCGCCCCATCAGCAAGCAGCAATCAGCAATCAGCGAGGCTGGGACGGCGCACTGGCAGCACATCAACGGCCCCGTGCACAATGGGCCCTTTCGCCTACAGACGATGCGCTGGCCTCTCGATAACCAGCCCGCCTGTTTGTGTGCCAATCCACGACGCGCCCTGTCTGCCGCGGCAGATTGGGTTTGCGGCCATGGCCACGGGCTAGACAGCGCTTGCAGCAATCACTGGCAGTCGGCTGCTCGCGGGGACGACTCGTCGGAATCATGGTGGGCGAAATAGAAGACACTGCGCGCGCCCCCAGTGCTGGCTAGGCTTGCTCCTTTGAGTAGCCCGCGATGCGTGCAGCCAACCAGCATCGAGCATCGCCATGCGCTCCATGTCCTGTCTACGGTAGCTATGTGCATGTGTGTGTGTGTGTGTGAATTGCCACAAGGACCATGCGAGCTCCCTGTCGCCGGCATATCACCATGGCTTCAATGCACCAGCCTGCCTCTTCACTCGAGCGAAGCAGCCCACACACGCAGCGCCTCCCAGCCTCGGTCGCCATTCACGGCGCTCGTCCAGTGCGCGCATTGCAGCTGGATGCAATTCACGTAGCTTTCCATAGTGTGCTATGCTCGCAGCTCGCACCAATACTCGGCTAGCCACCCACATCAACATGCCCGTCCCTTTCGTCATTGCACTCCGTCATCCCACCAGGCCAGCGCACGTGCCATTGGCAACCAGCTCCCCGGCGTCAGCTCCCCCAGCCAAATCTCCTACTCCACGACTCAAACTACCACACGCGCTGGGGCGCACTCCCACTCCCAGGTGCTGCACATTTGGCTGTTCCGTCCGCTCCCTCCACATACCAGCCCACCACCTCCACGCCCGGCCCATCAGCACGTATGACAGGCGGCGACCAACGCCCAGTGGCCACTTCTGACCTCCGCAAACGCCTGCCCCAGCTCCCCCAAGCCTCGACGACCGAGCTGGACCACCTGTCCATCATCATGGGGCTGACGTACAACATCTACCTCAACTCGTCGCGCATCTACGGCTGCAAAAACTGCAAGACGCACCTCTCCAACCACGATGACATCCTCAGCAGAGTACGTGCGCCTCGCTGCCTGTGGCATGCATGGGGAAGCGATACTGACCTGTCCTGCCCAGAACTTCCGTGGCCAGCACGGCAAAGCCTACCTGTTCGACAGCGTCGTCAACGTGACCGAATCCGACCCCAACGAGCGCAACATGACGACGGGCCGCCACATTGTACGCGACATCCACTGCCGCCAGTGCAAGGAGACGGTCGGCTGGAAATACGACAAGGCCTACGAGGCGAGCGAGAAGTACAAGGAGGGCAAGTTCATCCTCGAGGCAGAGCTCTTGTGCACCGTCACCTGACGAGCAGGCCATACTACACTCGGGTTGGCGTTGGATTGGCATGGGCATTTTGATGGGAGTTTCGGGATTGGATACAACCATGCGGCCTGGACCATGCACACGGTGTTTTGTAGGCATTTGGATTTTACTGTCCTCTATCGGCGTTCTGGCGTGTCAGCACGGAAAGAGGTGGAGAGTTGCCTGCCACCTGCCTGCATGGAGCCGAGGCCCGCTTACATGGGCGCTGCACTCTGCGACATCGCACGCACACCACCGCTAGGCCCCTCCATGTGAAGACTAATTTCTTTTCTTTCTTTTGGGTTTATCTAGTCTTATCAATGTCATCGAGTTTGCCCGTGTATGCATTCGCACCTGGATAGTGTGACTTGGTGTGTGCTGCATGTATGTTACCCCGCAGTCTCGCTTCGGCGGGGTAAGTAAGTGGGTGGCAGACACAGCTTCATCACCAAGACGTCCTCCGTCCCTCGGCTTCCTCTCGTCCAGGCACAAGCTTTAGCATGCTACGTATCTGTAGCGCGCAAGCTCCACTCGCTTGCATGGCTTTATTTCCGCCTTGATACATAGTCTGGGGCTCTTCCCCCTTTCTCACCTCGACCTTTACCAACCAGCTACACTGCATCCAACCCCATACGTTCACGAAATGAAAGCCGTTGTCTTCAAGGGACCGGGCAAGGTGGTGGTTGAAGAAAGGCCCATTCCCAAGATCCAAGATGCCCAAGACATCATTGTCAAGGTGGACAAGGTATTGTTGCTGCTGGGCTATGACTGTGCGCCACTAATGCTCTGCAGACGGCCTTGTGCGGAAGGTATGCTATGATTCTCGCATTGCGGAACAACCATGTTTGACTGATGGCCAGTGAGCTGCATGTCTTTCGAGGCCACCAGCCCTCGGGAACCGGATTCATAATGGGCCACGAGTTCACTGGATACGTACACGAGATAGGCGCATCGGTTAAAAAGCACAAAATCGGCGATCAAGTCGTCTCGCCGTTTACTACTTCGTGCGGAGAGTGCTTCTACTGCGCTCGCGGCTTCTCGTCACGGTGCGCCAAAAGCCAGCTCTTCGGATCCGTTCCTCTCGACGGCGCCCAGGCCGAATATGTGCGCGTCCCGCTTGCAGATTCCACGGCTGTCAAAGCTCCTTCTGGCATCAAAGACGAAGTGCTGGTCTTGATGGCGGATATCTTCCCCACTGGCATGTTTGCGGCGAAGAACGGATTCCAGTTCTGCAGTGCAGAGGAGGCCAAAGAAAGCGTTGTTGTCTTGATTGGATGTGGACCTGTTGCTCTTTGCGCGCTGTGCAACATCACCGACTACAAGCCCAAGCACATCCTCGCCGTTGACTCTGTGCCTTCTCGCCTCGAGCTCGCGCGGTCCCTCGGCGCGGAACCATGGAATTTCCAGACGGACCGCGAGGGGCTCGACAAACGCGTCAAAGAGCTCACAGACGGCCGTGGTGCCGACATTGTCATTGAAGTCGTTGGACTCTCGCCTGCGCTGCGTATGGGGTACGAGCTGGTTCGGCCGTGGGGCGTCATCAGTTCTGTGGGCGTGCACAATGGCGAGATTCCGTGGACGGGCAACGAGGCATACAACAAAAACGTGAGGGTGCAGATGGGCCGCTGCCCGGTGAGGAGCGTGTTTGAAGAGGCAATGGAGAGTCTCAAGCGACACCAGGATAAGCTTGGGTGAGTGTGAAGAGCAATCATTGTGCTCGACGCGACATGGCTGCTGACAAGGACAGATTCATGGCGGACAAGATGATGGCGCTGAGCGAGGCGGTAGAGGGCTATGACCTGTTTGACAAGATGAAGGTGCAAAAGGTTGTGTTTGACGCGCAAAAGTAGCATGGGAGTGGTGTTGCAGTATAGCACTTAGCATCATGTATGGCATGTATGTGTATGGGCCGCGCGGAAAATGCGAAAAAGGCGGCCAATCAGCGAGGGTGGCCAGGCTGATGCCGTGATTCTAGCTGCATCTTCGTGGGGACCATGGCGCTGGCGAGGGCTCGTGCACGCGGGGTCTATTCTGTCTTCGTGGATGGGGCGCGCCCCAAGTGCTGCCACTGCTCGACAGGCAGGCACTCACAGGCGATTACGGAAGTGGCGGGGGGGGAAGGGAGGTGGTCGGTGCGGGAGGGCCGACAGGTAGCAAAAGGAGCAAGGGTGGGTTTGGGGAGAGAGGGCACGTGGGAGGAGAGACGAGGAGAGGAGAGGAGAGGAGAGGAGAGGAGAGGAGAGGAGAGAGGAGAGAGGAGAGAGCTGGCTTTGCAGCGGGCGGGTCGTGGAGGGAAGGCAGACGAGGGCGTGCGAGGGCCACAGGTGTGATGAAGTGAGCAATATTCGGGCGGGCAGGTTGTAGCTTCTCTTAGCGAGACGGACACGCCTTTCCGAATTCACGGCGAGGGCAGCAAGTGGCAGGAGCAGCAGCAGCAGCCGCCGCCGCCGGTACTGCTGCGCATCGTGGGATGCAGCCGGCGTCCTCGCACAACAGGCGGCATTGCGCTCGACGAGAGCAACCACGATGCATTGACTGCTGCAGGCGTGAATGCACGCCAGCTCCACGCAGAGTTCCAGACACAAACCTCAGCACAACCACTGACACTCGAACCCGATAGTCTGGCCACTTCCACGTCGTCCCTCTCCTCCCTCTCCCACCACCACGACCCCCTCCTCCCTCCTCCCCCTCGTCAATCCCGCCGCCGTCGTTGCGACCCGCCTTCTTCTCTCGTGAGTGTCGCGACGTTGCGCGTGTCGCGAAGCTGCGTCACTAACCTCAGCCCCAGCGCTTCCCTAGGCCATCCCTACACGACCATGTCGACCGAGGAGCCCCAGCCCGGCCAGGATGCCGGCCGTGTCAACGACCAGCTCGACCGCCTTAACATGGACGGCGAGGGCGAGGTGATTCCGCGCACCGAAGAAGAGTACGCCGAGGCGCAGCTCACGCTCCGAGCCATTGTCTCGTCCAAGGAAGCCGGCGTCATCATAGGCAAGGCTGGCAAGAATGTCGCTGACCTTCGCGATGAGACTGGTGTGCGCGCCGGCGTCAGCAAGGTTGTCCAGGGCGTCCACGACCGTGTCCTTTCGGTAACGGGCAGCCTCTCTGGCATCTCCAAGGCGTACGGTTTGGCTGCCAAGGGCCTGCTCGAGGGCGCGCCTGCCATGGGCATGGGCGGCGTCATTCGCACCGACGGCACTCATCGTACGTACCAGAGCCTTGCTCTCACGCCACACCGTAACGGTGTATGAGAGTGCCAAGCTAACTTGTGCAGCCATCCGCCTCCTCATCTCGCACAACCAGATGGGCACCATTATCGGGCGCCAGGGCCTCAAGATCAAGCAGATTCAGGACGCCTCTGGAGTGCGCATGGTTGCGCAGAAAGAGATGCTTCCCCAGTCGACGGAGCGCATTGTCGAGGTGCAGGGGTCTCCTGCCGGCATCGAAAAGGCGGTTTGGGAGATTGGCAAGTGCCTGATCGATGACCACGAGCGCGGCTACGGTACTGTCCTCTACAACCCCGCCGTTAGGGTCCAGCCTGGCGTCGGGCCCGGCCCCTTGTCCAACGGCGGTAGCGCGCCCAGTGGCGGTATGGGCGGACGCTCGTACAACCGCACCGGCCACGGCGCTGACTTTAGTGACGCTCCCCCTGCCTTCTCTCGACGATCTGGTTCGGATGCTGCTAGCAGGCCTCCGCCCCCTACACATACCGAGGATGGCGAGGAGATGCAGACGCAGAACATCAGCATTCCGTCGGACATGGTTGGCTGCATCATCGGACGCGGCGGCAGCAAGATCAGCGAGATCCGCAAGACTTCGAACGCCCGCATTTCGATTGCCAAAGCACCCCACGACGACACGGGCGAGCGCATGTTTACGATTACGGGTAGCGCCAGTGCCAACGAGAAGGCGCTGTACCTGTTGTACGAGAACCTCGAGGCTGAAAAGATGCGCCGCAGCCAGGCGCAAGAGTAGGCTGGCTTCCGGGCAGATTCAGCTTCCGAGACGGACACGATGGAGGTTGGCACCACCTCTAGGCCGCCCCTTGTTGCAACTCGACCGGGCAGGCTCAGCGTCCTGGCTGGCGGCTCGGGTCGATGGCCACTTGCAATTGGCAGGGGCGGCGCGTCGCCACGACAGCAAAAGCATGAGTTTGCCTAATTTCTTAGTTGCTGTTAACCGATGGATACCACGGATAATTTTGGGGGCATTGTTTTTCTTTTTATATTGTCGAGAGAGATCGATATCTGAGTTGCACGCTGAGTGGCTCACGAATGTCATGACGTTATGGCCTTTGATATCCGGATCGCGCATGTGCTCGTGGGTAGCAGCGCTGGCATCCATCTTTGGGTTTTCTTGGCGAAGAAGAGCTGGGGAGGGCGTGGGACGAGTCCCATCCCCTCCGGCTCTATGGCGACACTCCATTGTACTTTCTCTAATCACTCCCTCACCCCACCTGCCCGCTCCAACCACGACGACGACCCCCCTGCCACACACCCTCACTCGTCCCGATAGCGACTAGATACAAGCATGAAAAGAAGACATGTTATCGATGTAGAGAATGCGACATGTGGTTGTCGTGGACGGGTGGCAGTGAGTGTGGATTGATTGATGATAAGATGCGTTGGCCTCTGCACACGCACACAGAGTATCGGCATGCGAGACGAGGCTGCGAACGGCTGGACCCTCGCTGGCGGCGGGTTTAGCGCATGTACGTCATGGTGTCACGCTTTGACACGAAGCACAGGACCCAAGTGACTTGGCCCGCACCCCCCCCCCCCCCCCGCCTCCTGACAAGTCGAGGCCGGGGGGGGGAATTGCGGACGAGCGTGCGGGCGGAGGAGAGCAGGCGGCCAGGCAAGACAGGCGGCGGGCAATGGATGGCGAGAGAGGCGTGTTTTTGCTGGATGCGCGACAGCCGTTGATGCGGTGAGGTTCGGCAGCAGAGCTCGCTTATCCTTCTAGGCTTGCCAGGCTGGGTAGGTCAGGATCGCCCAGCAAGCCGGAGATTGGTAGACTAGAGCAGTGGCAGCGCAGCTTTGACGCCCGACCGATTTCCGAGCCTGGCACTGGCACTGGCATGGCAGCTGTCTTTTCATGAGCTATGCTCTTCTAGGCAGGGGTGCATAGTGGTTAAAGATGATTTTTGACCGCACCTTTCCTCGTTTCCATGTTCCTGCACTCTCAACCTTTTGCCCAGCCTGACGCTCCCCCACCCCATCTGCTTCTCTACCACCCGACGACCAACACGGCCTCTACACCTACGCACTCGATTCCATTCTTCCTCGTGGACCGGATGACAGGCGCCATGGCACCCGTCCAGACGCAGACCATGACGACTCACCACTTCGACAACCCCGTCACAGTGATCCGAGCCTCGGGACGGATATCCAGACCACCAGCCCGCTCGACACGCACCCAGAACAAGGCGCTTCTCTCGCACTCGCCACAGGTCCCCACAGCACACCCAGACATCAACATCACATTACTCCGCAACAAGCTGCTCCTGCAATGCCGCCGCTACCTGCCGTCGGACCTGCTGCACGAGGCATTGGCAGACGGCATCTACTCACGCGCCACGCATTGGATAACGCCATGCTCGAGCGCAGCGTCCAAGTTTGGCAAGCGGAAACGGTACTACGTGCTCGACTCGTCGACATTCGAGTTCCAGTCGCTTGGCAGCGCGTGGGAGGCGCGGATCCTGTCTGGCGGCAGCCAGCCCATTGACGCGGGCAACGGCGTGGTGATTTTTGTCAAGGAGCGAAAGGAGTGGAATGCCTTTATGGCGGGGTACAGGAGGCAGGGCAAGCGGGCGGGGCAGTTGATGAAGCTCAAGCAAAAGGACACGGAGAGAGACTGGAGAAATGCGTGGAAGCGGAAATGCGGCATGGATGAGGGCGGCGGCAAGGAAGTCAACGCCGGGCCCATGTGGGTGCTTGTCAAGAGCGCCATTGTGAAGATTGTCAAAGGCGAGGCCTGAGACGGAGGGGGGGGGGAGGGGCAGAGGGGAGGGGGGGAAATCGGGGGGCCGCCCGGAGAGGGGAGGAAGAGAGGGAGGAGGCACGTGTGTCAGAATGAGGCGGAGCGTGATCACACAGCTGTGAGTGCGTGCGTGCGTGGGCGGGATGTGTGCGTTAGTGTGTGGGCATCAGCAGGTCCCTGTCTTCTCTCGACAGGCTAGGCCTCGGCGTTTTTTTCCTTCTCTCTCTCTGTCTCTGTCTCTGTGCATCATCGGGTTTTTTAGCGAGCATTTTTCATTAACTATTCCAAACAACGACGTTTTACGATGGCTGGGGGGTTGGGTGGAGGGGTAGCGGTAAGCGCGTTGTGTTGCATCACGCCAACACAACGCCAGCTCTTTGGTAGTGAAACGTACATGTAGATATCCCTCAATACACGCAAGGAATTCACACACACACACACACACATACACATATACACAAAGACCAAAGAAAAAGGGGAATAGCGCCCAGCATGCACATGTGTCCTGTATGTATGCGTCAGACAGAGAGACAAAGAGACAAGGAATAAGAAGAAGAAGGAAGAAGGAGAAAAAAAAAGAAAGAAACTTTTCTCCGTGTCCCATTTCTGTCTCGCGATTCTTTCTCTCCTCGGAACCGCCAGACGTGCGAAGAGGTCCGTCTGACTCTGGGCGGCGCCCGCCCTCGCTCCGTCCTTCCCCCATGGCCTCCCCGCCGCCCGCGCCCTGAGGCTTTTCCAGTCCAGACAAAGGGCGGGCGGGCGGCGGCGGCGGCGCTGTTGCCCCACAAGGCCTGCGTTAGCGCCGCCCCCAATTCCAAAGTCATACCCGTATTTCTCGTCACGCTAGCCACATTTTCCGTCACGCTACCCACATGGGGCACTACCGCTCGCTCACGTCCCTCTCTAATTGCGTAGCCGTCCCAACGCACTGTGAACTTTGACTTTGGATGCTAGCGGAGGCTTAACCATGCTAATATGGCGTGCAACTGTAAAACGCACTAGTGACGTGTAGTGCGGGTATCTGTAACACAAGTTAGAGTTGGCAAGTTACGAGACGAATGAATCGCTGGGGGGGAGCTGTCCTTGCCATTGCAGCTAAGTACCTATACCATGTACCCGATGGCTGACTAACATAGGCTAGGAGCAAACAGCGTTGAAATAAGGAAATATGGCTTACGCTTAACATGGCCCCGTGATGCACTAGACTTCACCGCTCCCTTTCCCCTTGTACACCGACCTTCCCTTCAACACTGGTTTTTAACACTACCTCTCTTTTGAACTGGATACTGATGTAATATCGCCATGTTGCTGTGTGTTTTTAAGGATGTTGGTACTTACTTGTCTGTTGTGTATACGGAATAACATAAACAAGGTTTACTTGAAAAAAAATTCACTCTAGAGGTATCTATAAACAGTGATTATACTAAGAGTAGTATCAGTGAATGAGCGCGCATAATCTTTTGATTAAAAGGGGAGGATGATACGAATCATGTTCATCTTGATACCACCAGAAATCTCGCGCATCCCTTGCCTAGCTGCTGGCTAATCGGGCCACATGCTACGACAATACATACAAGTTGAGCGGTTCCTTTGCTTTTAGCAATATTCCGTTTTTTTTTCTTTCATTCATTCATTCATTCATTCATTCCAAGCATGTCCCGCTCTTAATAAGCTTTCCTCGAATCTACTACTATACCAACTATCTACCTACGCGCACCTACATAGTTGCTCAACCTTTATCCCCAACACTATGGTGTACTTGGCAAGCATCATCCCAGCCCTTCTTCTCACCACGACTGTGCATGCCAGCTGTGGAACTCGGCCTTGGACTACTATCTACTAGCATGCCAATGTAATCTCAAACCGAGGCGCGTCGGGCGAAAGCGGGAATACTCCCTGGGCGTGTGGAAATGGCTACGGCACTGTATCCTGCCCTGGAGGGTAGACGGCAACCCGCATTACACAGAACAAACCGGCCGTGCACAATGGCGATATCATGTGCTCTAGTATCAGTGCTGTCCCCGGTGGATGTCATGCAAACACGACGGGAATAGCAATGCTATGCTAAATACTCAAGTTACCATGTGTACCACGTACAACATACATATATACATAGCACTACCGCCATGCTCCCCTCCCTCATTAATCGTGCTTGCGGTCCCCAAGTGCCGTTGTCAACTCTGAGTTCTGATGCTGCAGGTTGATCATGTAGCACGTGCAGCGCTACGAGAAGGCGTCATACGGCTTACATACACACCTACCTACTTGGTATTTTAAATGAGGCTCGTGCTGCTGCCGCTGCCGCTGCCGCTGCCGAGAGACCCTGATGACTGGGTACGGGCATGATGTATGTATGTATGTATGTATGTATGCATGAATGGTTTTAGTATGAATAGCATAGTGTATGCACATTATATATGTACATAGTATATACGTAAAATACTTTGTTTATTTTTTTTTACGCTAAGAAAAGCGCTCAAGTGCTATACAGTTGGGTATTCATCAGGCTTTGGCTAGAGCATGTGGGAAAGAGCATATACGACTGCATGGTATCCAAAGGTTGTGCATTCTTCCTGCTATGGGTGCTTCGCTTCTTGGGTAGCCACTGCGGTATCGATGGGGTCTCCCTTTGCAAGTTCCGTGGCGAACATAACTTGTAAGCAGCATGTATGTACACATGTGCCGAGAAACACCTACTACTTCAAACGCTTACTGGGTCTCTCGGCTTTACTCCCGACTATACGCGCCGCTTTTCTCTTGACAATCGGCCCATTATTACCGGATACGCTGCTAGTGTGGACATATGCTGTGCACAGAAGCCCCCCTGATTAGCTATTTTAATTACATGGTCGCTGTCATTTAAATATAAATTCCAGCCTCTCGCTCGCTCGGAAAAACTTCACGTGCACGAATTTACCTTGTCGGTCCATCTGACCATCCTCATTTATCATATACCCTATCAACATGTTCATCGTCAAGACACTCTTTGCTATTCTCATCGCAGCCGTCGCCACCAACGCGGCTGCTTTCCCCCAGGCACCCGACCCTTCGGCTGATCATTGCGGTGAATGTGCACCCGGTGTATTTGTAAGTTTCACATCGTTTGGTTTGCTATACAAAAAACACGATTAATTTTTAACCATCTGGTATAGTGTAGAGGAGGCGGATGCATTCTCAATGTTTCTACTAATCAGTGGTATTGCATAGCGACTAGGAGTTGCTAGGTTGTTATATCAGTGCGCGCAATGTCCAGAGCAAGCTAAAAAGATAACTCTACCATCAATCAATTTATCATTTACAAAAAGCGACTTTTACTGTTATTTCTATGCTATTGAAATTTGATGTAGTAGTGTTTTGTAGCTAGGCTATTCTGTATATGCAGGGTCTTGGACCCCAGGCTCAAGATAAAAGCGCCTCATCTTAGTGTAAGTAGAGTGCGTCAGTATATACAGTACCCAGTCCCTACCTATTTCTTAGTCATCGCACTAGTACCTAGCCCATGTCCATTTACGAGCCTATTTTTTCCCAAAAAGGTATGTTTGTATTCTTCTACTATCCTTAACAGAGATGCAGGAAATTCTGTTAGAGAAGCGTACAGGATGAGCATTCTTCCCTTGAAACAAGCCCCTTCGTACATGGGCCGTGCTTTTGGGGTGTGGGGCTTTGTTTCTGGGTGTCGACTTGGCCACCCCTCCGCGCCCATCCGAACTAAGCGCCTCTGAGAGTATATACTACATAAGTACCAACAAACACTATTTACAGGTCATTAGTAATTCATCCTGGAAATGCCACTACGATTGCCTCTACCTATCCATCCCTTTTTGAGTCTCGCAGAAGGCTTTGTTTCCAGGTGTCCAGGTACGCATACGCATACTAGCTGAGCCAAGGTTGTAGTTGTAGGGGTGCTTTTTAGGATACTTTTAGTGCTTATCTCATATTATCTCTGTTCCCGGTTTTCTACATGCACCACTCTTTATAACAATGAGCTAAACAAATGCCAAGGGCCTTGGTATATCGAAAGCAGATTAAAGCCCCCTAAGTAACTATCTTCATTACGTATATCCTGGCTTTTGTTCATGTATAAGTTGCAATCTCCTTGCTTAGAAAACTTGCTGCCTATTTATCCATCCAAACATTCCAATCTACTTCAACAACACATTTCTCAAAGATAATCATGTTCTTCTCCAAGACCCTCTTGGCCGTCCTCGTCGCAGCCAGCGCCGTTAGCGCGTCTGCTGTTCCCCAGTCGATTCCTTCTGAATGCCAAGCATGTGGCCCTTATCTGACAGTGAGTTTAAAATCTCAGTCTTTTTCATACAAACGCTTGAATAAAGTCTAATTGGACGTAGTGTCGGCGGACTGGCTGCTCATATTTTCCTGACCACAAGGCCTGGGGTTGCGCACATGGTTCTTCCTGCTAGGATACCCATGTCAATCAATACGGAGAGCAGATTCCGCCTCTTGCCACAGCGCTGCAACCACGACGACGGTCTGGGCAGAAAGCGCAGCAAAAGCTTGTTGATGATAATGGGAAAGGAAAGTTATGGAAAATGTGGATCATGATGGAAATAATGGAGTCAGAAAACTAGGGATTTAATAGGAGGGAAGTACGAAAGATATGTAGGCTCAAACTGTATATATTTGAGCATACGAAGAGCTACAGTATCAAGACCAGTATGGCTACCAGCCATCAAGTGAATCAATACGACAGTGCAAGAACCCATGGCCCCACTAGCGGCATCGTCCGCGCACCGGTTATTCCTTCTTAGTAAGATCGATAGAATGAACAGCATTGGTGACGAATTCTTGTGCAACCTGCTTGAGCTACAAGTCCAGCATGTCAGCACTTTTCCAATTGTTCGGCGAGAGTGAGACTTACATCTTTGAGCTTTTTGAGTGCAGATGTCATCGAGTTCATGACGAATAATTTTCTGCTCGTGAGACTGTCCAACTTGACGCCCACCTGCATCCCTGAGAGGTAAGTCGCAACCTTGTCAA